TAAATGGACAACCATCTTTCTTAAGGGATTCTCCAGGCAGCTGGAATGGCTCCCATCAAAAATTAAAAGCACCAGGGATACACTCAGGCAACAATTCAGAGCTCTGTATCCATTCTGTTTCAACCCTGTCAGGTGTCCAAAAACTGCTAGTGTCTTCAATTTTTCAAACCATCTTTTTTCTTCTTGTTTAGAGCACTTAAAGAAAACCAATTCCTCTAAAAGTTATTTCCTTTGGAGTATCAATTGTGGAAATAATGGTCTCTCCCAGGTTTCTCTTTACTGGCCAAGGGTTTTTGTTCCTTCCAGTGCTCACATTCTTAAATAGAAAATATCTCAGTTCATTGTTTATTTTATTTTCAGTTTTTGTGCCTCTTGGTATTTAGATGAACTAGGTAATTTTGCTTCTCTTAATATCATCATGCATGTCAAACACAGTAGGAAATTCCTGCTGGCCACATGGAAAAGATTCTGATGCTACATTGCAAACTCTATCTGACTTAAATGGTATAAGTATCATTATTCTCTATGATGAAATAGAAGTGATCATTTAAATGCGAAAGAAGTGGGGGAAACAAGACTTTTTGTCTTAAGTTGTTTTTCTCACAGAGTAACTTTGGGCTGGTTGTTTAACAGCTCTGTTCCTGCTTACACCAATTCTCTAAAGTGGGTCTCATTATTATGAGGATTGTTAGATTAAAATACAATAACCACTTAGAAGAATGGCAGGCATATGATAAATGTTTTAAAAGCACTATTATTTCCCCTTTATTGATAATGTCTGAGTTTAAACGGCTTGAAGGTCTTATGTCTTCTTTCTGTCATCCTTTGATTTCTCCTTCACCCTTCCTCCCTATCCATACCTGTCTTTGCCCTTCTCTCCTCTCTTCTCCCTTTTTACTTGAGGCTTACTAGTCACTGAAGAGTATAATCCAATATAAAACTAGAGATAGGCACTACAGCCACAAGACATAAATGTGAGGAAGATCTGAGACAACACCACTTATACAATGTTTCAACATGAAACAAACAGCCATTATATAATGTTTCAACATGGGACAAACAGCCACACTAAAGTAACTGTAGCCTTCTTGCCTATGCATCAGGACAGCAGGCCCTTCATCCTCAGAGTGCCTTTGCCTCTGTCTTTTACTTGGACTTTTAACAAAGAAGGTAGTAAATGCAGCCCATATGATTTGATAAGTATTCAGACCTTCAGACAGAAGGTGCATATAATGAATTACAGAATTGTCTGGAATCTCAAATATACATAACTTGATTTAGAACTACAAAAATAATTCACAATGAATTGGCTATACTGAGATAAAAAAAAAACTTAGTGTACTATCAATTAACTGCCAGCCTTACAAATACCATGCACATGCTAATGTTATATATTAGTCACTGGATTTCTTCAAAGCTAGCACACCATATTTTATAAGACATTAAGTAACATATTAAAACAATAAAAGGGAGACAGTGGAATGGGAACCCATGACTTTAATATCTAAAAATATTTTTAGGGCTCCCAAGGTGGCTCAATGAGTAATATATTTGCCACAAAGCATGATGATCTAAGTTCCAACCCCCAAACTCACATAGTAGAAGGTAACATGCCTCCTACAAACTATTCTCTGCCTTCTACACATGGATTGTGGCACATACATGCCCAACCATTCCAACAAATAAGTAAGTAAATATAATTTTAAAATTAAAAAATATATTTAAAAAACCCCTCAAACCAGTCTACCAAGGTTATATATTTGATTAATAAAAACAAATTTTAAAAAGTCAGAAATGGAGCTGGGGAGAAGGCTCAGTTGGGAAAGTGCTCACCACACTAGCACTGGGACCTATGCTTGCCTCCCCACCATCCATGTAGAGTTGTAAAAACTAAGGCACTGTCATGCTGGTTTGAAATCCCACCTCTGAGAAGGCAAGGAAAGGTGGTGTTGAAGGAATCTCCTATGTCTGTTTGAATACTTCACTTGTCAAATAAAGCTAATTAGCCAGTAGCTGAGGCAGGAAATAAAAGGCGGGAGTTCCAGTAGGAAGCAGGGATTCTGGGACAGAGCCAAGCTTAGGAGATTTCACCCAGGAACATGGAGGAGGTCTGCAACATGGGAGCTGAGTAAAGGTAAGCATCCATGTGGCAGAACTCAGAATAAACAGGATATTAAGCTAAGGGAACAAAGTATATGACCTAGGTATTTGTAAATATATTTGATTCTCAGAGTCATTATTCCAGGAGCCTTGGGCTAGGAATCATGGATAGGACAGAGAGGGGAGAAGTGGAAAACTTCAACAGCGGTCCTGCAGAAAAAGTCTCAAATACAAAAACTTTCCCAGGAAAAAGGCAATGAGATTAAATGTTGACCAGCTCTATGGGATAAAGTGTGATATTATCAGCTGAGTCACACAGAACACAGACAGGCAGGAAGTATGTGCAGTCACTGCCCAGGGGTGGCCTTAGGAAATAGACACTGAACTGGACCCTGTCGGGGCTAGAGAGTTAGTGATAAACTTTGGTATATATCAGTTTTATGCATTTTGTTGCCTGAGCATGAGATTAGAACAGAAATATTAATGATATCCTCTACCTCTGTTTTGTCTGACTATCTATTGAACAGCTGTTTCTAACTGGAAGTTATTACACTTGACAAATATTCAGTGAGCAACTATTGTGTGCCAAGAACTCTTGGGGAAGATCACTAAAGAAAAGATTCTTGCCTCCAAGGAATTTGAATATTAGTGGTAAAAAAGTAATTAAATGAACAAGAACATATGTTAGAGATAAAGACAAATGCAGTGAGGGCCATGAGTAAAAGCTAGGTAAGAATGAGGAGGATTGGTGGCTGAAGGGTAGGGGGAGGTGCAGTCAGTGTTGAGAGATGTCAAAGCCTTTGAACCAGTGTGGCATTTGTCCTGTTGAACAATGCAGTCGACCTCCCAGTCTCCTCTTACTCAGCTCAGGAGAGAAACTTAGGTTCTGAACTATCCCAGACCCTGTACTGCCTCAAATCACCTGATGATCACATTTTCTTCTTCCCCTCCCTGGTGAGCTACACACATTTTTCCTTGTATTAGCTGTTCTCCCAGATATTCTGGCCATAGCTACACAGAAGTAGTTAGTTAACTTAGCAGATTTTAAACATACATTTTTGGAGGGAGAGGTCAAGGCAAAATTAGTGATCATTTTCCAAGTGGTGTGTGAAGCCCTGAAATATGGCTTTCATTTTAGTTTATAACATTCCCTTTCCTGTTGCTTGGACAGGACTATTCATTTAGTACTTTTTATTTTTAATTTAAATATAATTGCACTATTTCCCCTTCCTTCTCATCCCTCCTCCTTCCCTCTCAAGGTCATAGCCACTTTTTCATTTCTCTCTCCCTCCCCCCTCTCTCTTTCTCTCTTACACACACACACACACACACACACACACACACACACATACAACACACACATACACAGAGAGACATACACATATGTATAACCAGCTAAATCTATTTAGTGTTGCTTGTGTGTATATGATTTTAGAGCTGACTACTTGGTATTGGATAACCAACAAGTTGGCTCATCCCTGGGAATGATTAATTCTCCCTCTCAGCAGTCATTCGTTGTCTGTCGATCATTGTCTATGGGCAGGGCCCCATGAGATTCCTTCCTTCCATTTTAGCATATATTCTTGTTGTCATTGTTCAGATCTTATTTAGCTAGCCATACTGTTGAGGTATCTTGGGTTAAGATTGGCCATCATTTCTAGGAGACAACCTCACAGTAGACCTCCTGTTACTCTGCCTTACACAATCTTTCAATCCCATCTACAACCCTATGTAAATGGTGAAGGGGAGAAAGAAAGCAAGCAATAGTATTATCTAGCTGTGATGTCTATGAACCACAGCAACAATCAGCGTGGCAAGATATGCCTAAAGACTGCAATAGTGGTACTCCTGTCTCAGCTCCCACCAACACATATCAAATCAGACTTAAAGCCCACCCAGCAGAAGGAAGCCATGTCTGGTATTGTGAACCCAGCCAAAAACCAGGGCTAATGAGGCCATGGACCTTACAGGAGATCATACCACTGCTGCTTTACTAAGCCATCATAATTCCAGACTGCATGCCAAAACTCATACCCACTGATAGTGAAACACTCTCATCAAATATGCTCCCCTTAGCAGTAGATGAAACTTACATAAAACTACAACTGGTCAAACCGTAGAGGTCAGCTGACCATGGGGAACCTGACCAAGTAGACGCATCTGCAGCACAATTCTTGCACCTAAAGCAGAACTCTCTTATCTTTGTTTCCAAATTGCTGAATAGGTATTGTATATATGTTGGGGTACAATTTGGTTTTGCTATGTGATTATATTACAGAATGACTAAGTGGTATTAATTACATATAAAATCACATACTTAGGGAGATTCTAGAAACTCGAGGAAGTAGAAGCTAGCTAAAGACAGTGGGTTACTGGGGCCATGACTTTGGGCACATCCATTCATTCCCATAGTCTCATAACCCCTACACTCTCTCCCTTACCACACACCTCAACAAGTCGTACAATCTTCTGTGCAACCTGTTCCTGCAACCATAATGCTCCACCCAAACACAGAGCAACCAGTTCTGGACTCAACTCCCTGAAGACCGAGGAACCATGTTCTCTGGGGTGTTTACACTGTTGCAACACTGCAAGATAGAACATTCTTCTTCAATGCAACCTTCAATGAGACATCTCTCCCCTCTTCCCTTCACACCAGCATTGTTGTCGGCTGGAATTTAGTTTACAAATATGGTGCTTACACATAAATATGAAAAATAAAATTCTGACTGAAAAGAGACTCCTTTAAAACTAGCTTTGACTTTTTTTTAACACTGCAGTTATCGGTTTCAATTAAAGTCAGACCTACTGACATAATACACTTAAATAGTCACTCTATGTAACCCCATGAAAGGCAGTATTTGCCTCCCACATTTGTTGCACACACAGTAGGTACTTACATGAAATTCACACAGCCCGTGCCGGCTGGTGGAGCAATCCAAACAAAGCTGAGGTTGGTTGTAGGCAGGTGACTCACGTGAGAAGCCACCACGCTGCACATGAACTGATTACCAAACTGGTAGTCAGACATGATCCCTGTGAGACAGTAAAGGAGAGGCGTTACAAAGTAAACAGAATCAGCTCCTACCTACCCACCAAGGCATGATGACATTTTATAAACATTTTTATTTTATACCAATGTTAATTAAGCTAAGTGGCTTCCCATAAGTTATGCAATTTTCCCTTTTCCTTGATTGAGGTAAATTGATCATTTAAAACATCATTATCATGAAATGACCTACAAAAGCCATCACTAGAGAATGTGCTTTGCCTTTGTAGATTTCTCTACTGATCACCAAATCCCCTCAGAGCAGCATGGACCAACAAGTCTGGATTTCTTGAAGCTCTCAGTGACATGGGAGACTACACAGCACAGTAGATTGGGAGGTGTGTTAGCACTGAGATGCTCTTGGGGATAAATACAGTACTCGGACTTCTGTTGGGCTATTTCAGAAGAGATCAGGTTTGCCTGCCAATGGCACTGTTTTTGTACTGGAAATCTTATAACCTGGGGAGCAGTAATCCAGGCCTAGTTCACTCTCAGGGAAACATGGTTTGACTTCTAGAATACAACTCTCAAAAAATTGGAGATAATGGTATTTCTGTCTTAATTTTCATGTTGGCAGCATGAGGACAGATGGGTGTAAGTTAGCGACTTGGTTGGTATAACAGAGATCGTGTTAACAGAAAGAAGGGTGCTGGCCATTTTGTAGTTTGTGCCATGTGCCAGCTTTTGTCTATGTTTGGGAATATCCAGAGTGACATCACTCTTAGATGGACGTGCCTGATGCTGTGTTCTGTGACTTTGCTTATGTTCCATATAGAAACACTGTGGCATATCCGAGGGTGAGTCAGCACCTACTGGAGTATCGGGGGTGCCTGTGATCCCTTTTAACAGAGCAGTTCTCTTAATTTTAACACAGATAAGAAATATGAATAACGACTAAACAATAAGGAAACAACCTATTTAGAAAATAGACAAAATACCTAAAGAGATTTTGTGTCAAAGAAAGTATATATGGCAAATAAGGTACAAACGTTTTCAACAATATACACTACTCCAAACTGCAAATTAAACATTGACAACAACATAGCAACCATCTGTCTATCGGAACAGCCCAAATCCCAAACACAGACAATACCACCTACTGGTGCACATATACACTGAGTTAACAAAACTCTTCAAGTGAAATGAAAGCTTGCACACACACACACACACACACACACACACACACACACACGTTTAAAGTAGATTTGTCAATAGTTTCTAACACTCAGGAGTAACTAGAAGGTCTTTCAGGAGAAGGGTGAATTGTGATCTATCCAGGAAATAGAGCCTAGTTTAGCTAAAATGGAAATGATATATGAACAAGCTATATAGGGATGCAAAGAAAGCTGAAATACATGTAGTATCATGTAACAGTAGCCAATCTGAAAAGCTATAGGATGCCTGATTCCAGCTAGATATCACATTTTACATGTAGTATCATGTAACAGTAGCCAATCTGAAAAGCTACAGGATGCCTGGTTCCAGCTAGATATCACATTTTAAAAAGGGAAAACTAGAGAAGCAATTCAAAGATGAGTGCTCACTGGGGCCTGGCAAGGGAGAAGGGAAAAGGTTGCGGAAAGGGTCTGAGGGCAGAGGCTCTTCTATACAGTGCTTGAATAACGGACCACAGTCATTATGTAAATGCTCAAACCTCGTAGGACATGGAATACTCAGAGTAGCGCCTAATAGATGCTATGTGCTCTGGGTGATAACGATGTGCCAAGTGCAGGGTCACTGATCTTGACAAATGTGCCACTGTGGGCAGGATGTCAGCTATAGAGGTGGTATTTTTGCTCTTTTTTCTCAGTGTGTAGGGGCAAGGGCTATATGGGTAACTTTTAAACTCATTTTTGCTGTGAATTTAAACTTGTTAAAAAAGATCCACATATTAACTAAAAAAATTAAAACATTGCCAGGAATAGGAAACTCAGTTTCAAAATTCTCTGATTTATTTAAGTCATGGTTTTGAGCAAATGCTTTATACTCTCTCAAATAAAAAAAAAAAAAGGAAATTCTGTGCCCCATATCTACAATACACTAAATGTGCTGTGAGACAGGAGGAGACGTACTTGGTACTACAAATGCGGCCAAGGGTCCAGGTTTAGGGAGCTCAGTCCCAAGGGCTGAATCCACTACTACCTTGGTGAATGGACATAAACATTTAGATTTCACATGTAAAACATGTGGTGCTTGATTCTCATAACAAACAACACATAAGACAATATACCATGATGCATCTAGCTGATTGTCCATTATAAATACTGATTTTCTTCCTGTCTAAATCTAGGTATTTCTCCACAAAACCTCAGTCCATTCACACTGTCTAAACCTGCGCCATCAAAGGTGGCTACTTAAATACAATCTGATTAAAAGTAGAAATATTTACTTTTATTTACTCAAAACTACAACTTTAATAAATACGAGTTTCAAAGCTTGTTTCCTATTCTTGGCAATGTTTTAGCTTTTTAGTTACTATGTGTTTTTATTTAACACAAGTTTAAATTCACAGAAAAATAAAAAATTCAGTTCTTCAGTTGCACTGATTATCACAAGTGCTAAAGATGCAGCTGCAGGTGGGCATGTATTTGGCAGCAGAGAACAGACCACGTCCTTCCAAGACAGAGAGCCCTATTAGACGACCAGTGCACAAAGCAAACCTCAGCTTCTCTGGATTTACCACTCATTGTTGTTTTTTTTTTTTTTAGCTTCAGTTTCAGCACTGTTTCCCTGTAAGTCTTTCCCATGCCCTTCCACACTGTACACCTGAAATAGCAAGTGGGTCCCTCGGCTGTGTTAACACAAATGATGCCCTCTAATTAAATAATTAAATTAAAATTAAATTAAAATACAGTCTTCAACTGTTCTCTGTCGCCTCACAAATCCTACGTCGGGATTTACTATCATCTTTTCACCTCCAAGAAAACCCAATGTTCGTCTCCAGGCTTCTCCTGAGCCTTTTACTTAATCCCAGAATACTAGAAGGCATCAGGCATGTTCTGCTTCTTTTCCTTTGCTATATCCTCCATTCCAAAGGAAATCGGATATCCTTCTGGCACCTGTCACAGTATACACAGTCAACGTTTAATTTACTTAGTCATGCTTTAAAAAGGTTTCTTGGTTCTTGAGATTAAAAAACATACACATTTTTTATTAATTCACTTACAGTGTTAACATTTCCATGTTTCAGTTTGTTATGTGATATTCTCATTTCTAAACTGTTCTAGGTTTCAACATCTTCCCCTGGGCTTCTACAACAGGGCCTTACCGGTTTCTGTGCCCTGTGTCTCTCTTATTGTACCAAAATGAGTTCTCAGAAAGGTCCATTTCCTGCTCGCTTTCCTGTCCCGGCTTCCCATCAGCTCCAGCAGAATAACGCTCTCGCCACCTCTCCTTATGTTTATCACAAACAATATGGCTTCCCATTCTCCCTAAATTGTCCACTGGGTCTGAGCTTCGAGTGCCAGTTACCACTCTTAGAAGTATATACCCTCTCATCTTTAGTAGACTATGTCCTATGTCGTCCTCTTCAAGGGCAGGAACACTAGCTTTAACACCAGGAGGGAAGTCACTGAGGTAGGGACATGCCAACCTCACTCTCAATGACTTCCATCTCACTCATGGCCTGAGTCCGATGCTTGGGTAGATGGCCTTCCTACACATCATAGCAATCCACCTGTTCTTCCATCTTAACACATGACTTTCTCCCCACATAGTCTATGAGAGTCCATCTTTGTATTCAGGCAGACAGCACAACATATGACTCACCACAGATATTCAAGAAGTATTTTCTGTTTAAATATATAAACAACTTTAAAAATTATAAAGACTGTAGAAAGCACAATATATGCATGACTTTTGATTGGAATAAGTCACAACTGATCTAAGAAATGGAAGAAACAGGCTAGTTTTGCAAGGTAAAGATGACATTATTTTCTCATTTCAATCTTTAAGCTACATCTTAGACAAAATTCATCAAGCCAAAGAAACCATGAGGTTAGAGAGAAAATGAGACTCCTAGGGAGATGACATTCCCAGAGCAGACTCAAGAGCCATGACTCAGAATTGCCACTCCCCTTCTGGTCAAGCATGAAGCAGGGACCCTGTGTGTGGAAATGACACATCTGCAAGTCAGTCTGGTCACATAGAAGACGAATTCTCCAGCTACAATCATGTGGGAAGGGAAATTAACGGAACAAGCTAAGATTTCAAACCTTTGTAACGTGATTCATGGTCAAGTTTCCTTCCTCAAAATTCCTCTTAGGGACTGAGTCAATGTCTAAATCATATACTACCTTACTGAAATTTATAAGCTGCTGGCATACATGTGCATGCCATATATATGGCTGACACATACACATTATATATACATATGTATGTATGTATGTATGCATGTATGCATGTATATACACTCATACACACATATGCATACACCCTCTCCTGAGTAAATATGCTACGGAATGATATTCTTGCTATCTAACTGTCTAGGAAAGTAGTTCTCCAACCTAACTGTCTAGTGGTACATCTAACCTGAGTACAGGGATTTTTAAAAGCTTATCCATCAAGTATTATTTGTAGCCAGTGCTTGAAAACTATTATTGGGTATTATTAAATAATTACATTATAAATGCTATAACTATATAGTTATAAGTTAAATTAGTGCATGTTATATAATTATATACAGTGATTATAACATTAGTATTATCATTATCATTAACATTATATAAAATTCTGAGTTTAGGGTTGAAACTATTCACATTATCAAAATTTCAACACACTTTAAAAGTATTCAACAGAGTCTTACCAAATGCCCTTTGTAATAATAATGTAAAATATTCTATATTCTTGTCCATTACTCCAAAAATGATCCCACATGTGTCTTCCAGACCCTTGTGTCTGTGGATGTATGTGATGGGGTCCGTATGATGCATATGAAGGCAAGAGGAAAGCCATGGCTATCATTCCTCTGGAAGGCTGTCCACCTCCT